ATAAAACTTAGTTATTTTCGTGACCCATAAAATTAAGATATGATACATAGATTCTCCCCTCACATCGCCTATTAAAAAATAAAGAGAATTAATGGAATAATGTCGTGTGACAATATTGTATTCGTAATAGATAAGAGAGAGAGAGAGAGAGAGAGAGAGAGAGAGAGAGGATTGTATGGAAGAGAGGATAAAAATAAGGAAAATTTAGAGGTCGGCCACCCTTTGTAGACTTATTTGGTGATAAGTCTTTCAAGAAAATTTGTTTAATATTAAATCCATTTTGATCTCTATTGTCTAAAATATCCCAGTAGTTATATTTAATTAAAATAAATTTGAAAACTAATTGCTCTTAAATTTTAGGAGTTTGACTAACATTAAAATTCTCTCTTTCATAACTAGGGGTGTTCATCCTACCCTACGGGTAGAAATTATTGTATTCCATCTTCATAACTGATATTTTGAAGAATAATTTTTTCTTAGCCTAACCTACCCAATCAAATGTACTATTCCTACTTGAATTCTGTCCAAAACAATTAGGTAAGAAGTCGGGTAGGAAATCGAGTGAACACATATTTTTTAGTTATTAATTTTTAGATAATTTAATAATTTAATTAAGTAACCTGCACCAATTAACTAACACAATAAACTAATAACACTAAAGAAAATACAACAAATTTGATAATACATAAACAATTACAATAAAACATAACAAGAAAGTCATAAACATCGATACATCATATATAAGAAAGTCATAAACATCAATAAAATATTAGAATTTCTAGATTTTTGGATTTTAATTCTTAAGGATTAACATACACACACACACACACACACATATAAGCAATGCACCACATGCGTTGCACGTGAATAATTTTTGTATATAAAATTTAATAAAGTTATTTAGGTATATGTGTACTTAAATTAAATATCATCTCAAATTTATAAAAATTATGTTTTTATCGTTCGTATTATACTATATAATTTAAAAAATGTTGTTTGTTTCCAACGATTCATTATTTTAACTATAAGAAAAAAAATATAAAAATAATTCATTTGATTAGGTTTCAACTTATAATTCATTGAATAAAGTAACAATACTTGTCAATATTCTAATCAATGCTTATTTTTAAGGGTAACATAATCAATTAAAAATTTCATAGATATTAAAATTTATACATAAAGAATAGAGAATTATGTATCCATATATAGAATAAAACTATATATATATATATATATAGTAACATTAAAAAAATAATAACATTCAAATACAAAACATAATATCATTTAAATTCAAAAAATAGTAACATTTAAATACAAAAAAATAATAATATTAAAAAAAATAACATTAAGTATTAATATTTTAAAAAATAACAGTAATAACATGCTCAACAAAAATAAAAACATGAACAAAGTAGTAATATTCAAACACAAAACTAGAGGACGAAGCCTCCAATTCTTCAGCATCCAAAAAAGTAATATGAAAAAATAGTAAAATACTTAATAAAAATAGTAACATGGTCAATTAAAAAAAAATAGTAATATAGTCAACAAAAAAACATAATAACATGAAATATTGAACAAAATTGGGGATTATTTACCCAAAAAAAAATAGGGACCAAAGCAATAACACATTGAGCTTCGATTGCGTCCTCGTTTTCTTCTTCATCAGCTTCGTCATCTTTAGTTCTCGGGAGCAGCACCGCCACCTCCACCAATGCCGACGTTCAACACAAGGTCTTCGATGTTCCTCTTCTCGGCGAACTTGGCGAATAAGCCTTGTGTTCTACTTCATTTTCTTTTTCTATAGAATAAAAGAGTTTTAAAGAGGAAGAGTACACTTGGAGTAATGATATATCGTAGAGAGAGAGAGTATATGAATTTGAATTTGAATTTTGGAGTGAATTAAGGGATAATAATTCTCAATTTAAGAAATCAATTTAAATTTACTTTCAATGTCTTCGAGGTTTCTAATTTTATATAATTGAACATAATAACAAATAGTGGACTTACGTACTTATTATTAAGATAAAAACGGACTTGTCATCAAATAAGTTTCATTGACAGATTTAAGTCATTATAAATTCATTAAGGAGGACTCAACCCCAATTTTCACTAAAAAATAAATAGCTTGATTGGTACTTTAATTTACTACGGGGACAAAAACATAATTAAAGGGAGAACGTGTGTGTATTTGAGAGAGAGACCAATGATGCCTACTATACAATATTTTATGCACCTTTTTAGTAACCTTATGTTTGAGGGCCTTTGAGGGGTGTTCACTTTGAGGGCCTTCTCAGACAATGTTGGGGTGTGGTGCTTAGTGGTTTAGTGTGTTTGTCATAACATAGAAATCATCACCCTTTTATTTATTCAAACAAATCATATTTGCCTCTAAGAATTCTCAACATCACATGTTGAATGATTTATTATTGAAAAAAAATTAAATAACTATCGGCTGATGATACCCTGAATCTGGTAATGCCCCAAGTTTAGAATCAGTCACTGACTAGAATAGTCGATCATGCTAAGCTCAACAAAAAAAGGAGTTGTGCTCAATAAGAGATCCCGTCTTAGGCGGATGAGCTAGCCGCTCCAAGATGATGTAAGGTCGCCATGGGCTCAAGATGGAAGACACGTCATATTGCCACCTAGACATATCCTTGAAGGCCATGTTATTTATGGAAAATGTTGATTCTAACAACCTAGAGAATATAATTTCTAACAATCTAAGGAATATAGGTTCAAGTGGTCAAATTTTTTCTAACGAAATTCTAATAAATTGGGACCATTTAATGATGACAACATCACCTTCTCCATGAGGAGGAGAGAAAAATCTAACTACAAATTGTAACATGTCTTCCCCATAGCCCCAAAGAGCAAGAGAATCTTTTAGAGTAAATTAACTAAACTTCAGTCGGGGAAACCAGTACAATTTCTACTTAATTATTTTCTTCTTAACTCATCTCCATTCTTATTTCCTATTGCAACACTTGTGTTATCACGAGAGCATCACCCGTAGTAGCCTTGAATCCTTTAGTTCAAGCGTCCAGCTCATATTCGGTGTTCTAATTCATCATCGGAAAAAGTTAAAGATTAAAATATTGTTTTGAAATTTTGGCATTTCTAAGGCGATCGAAACAAATCATTGATTGAATCAAAATTCTTGTGCTTTGAGATATTTCGAAGTATTTCAAGATATTTTGAGTTATTTCGAGATGTTTCAGCATGTTTCTACAAATGTTTTAAAATATTTTGAGGTACTTCAAAATGTTTAGATATATTTAAACTAATGTTTTGAAAATATATTTCTAATTTTTTTTTCCTTTTCATTATGTTTTTGAAATATTTTTGAAATATTTTCATTTCTTAAGTAACCGAAATAATGTGCCGAAATGATATTTTGATCATTTGCAAAAATCTAGGGAGTGTTTGGTTTGCTTTTTGAATTTTTTTTTGTTCTCAAAATTTTAAAAACACCAAAAACTTGTTTGTTTAGCTTTTTTGGTCTCCAATTTTTAGAAAATTTTCGGAATTAAGAGGTAATTTTAAAGAACAACAAAATGGTGTTTTTATTGTTTTCTAAGATAAAATGAAAACACAGGAAACACTTATCTCCAAATTAATAAGGTCTCCCCTTCGAGTTTCATTGGAGACAAAAAATGGTGACCTGACTATTCATCTTCTCCACTGCGCTCTGTCTCTTTCACAACTTTCCACTCTCCCTCCCTCTCTCTAATCCAACTTCAGACTATTCATCTTCACCACTACGCGTCTGTGTGAGTGTGTGTGTGAGAACTCATCTCATTTCTCTCTTTCTTTGCGCAACAAATCTGTATAGTATATGTACAAATTTGTGTACACACACACACACATCTATTGTGTGATGTGTGTGTATGTATATATATATCTATTTGTGTGTTTGTTTTTGCTGTGTGAGAAGGCGATGGACGTGAATAATTGAGTGAAGTGATAAGTTTTTTTTTATCAGAAGTGATAAGTTAAAAATTGGGTTTATGGATTATTGTCCAAACAAGTTTTATTATTTTTTGTTCTTTAAAATTATTTTCAAAAAATATAACTAAACAGATTTTGCAATCTAAAATTTTTTAAAAATGCTTTATCAAAACTCTTGTCAAAAATAATTTTCAGATACTTTTTTTTGATATGCAAATCAAACAGCCCCTTAGATTCCGGAACTCTTGGAGGGAAATTTTTTTTCTTTTTTTTTATTTGAAATAAATTTGTTTAAGTGATAAAAACTATACATAACATAGAAAGCTAAAAGTCAATATTAAAAATCAATAAATCACATTTGATCAGAAATTTCCCTGGTCTGTCGCATATGCGTCATGTGTAGGTTTGTCAAAATGTGGTACAACACAAATCAACACAGAATTAAGAGAATTTGGGTGAGGTCTAACGAGTGGACCCACTTGACCCATTTAATAATCTGTGAGATATATTAACACGTTTATCATTTTTTTAAATAAAATTAATATAATAATAATTTGATAATTATTCAAAAAAGATCATCATAATAACTTATGTGGTTTAATAATTAGATTAGTTAAAAAAAGTTTAATAATAAATTATTAAACAGGTTAAAACGAATCATATTGGATAATCTATTTTACTAAGTGAATCGTATTTAATTTATAAATTTTTTCAAGTTTAATTAAACAAATCGTACACGGGTCAAATGTTTTTTCACATGGACTCAATTAAACTCAACTCGGACCCACTTAATCTAACATGGTTAACACCCTTAATCACGTGATGCTATTCCATTACAAAAAATCTAATACATGTAGATGGAAATACTATATTCAAAATAAGGTTATAATTAATAAAAAATTAGGTAGACAAAATCGAAAGAAGGACCATATTTCTTGGGTATAAAATGTAATTTATTGAAAGCCAAATATTCATACACACGCGTCTTACAAATGTGCAATGGCACCGCGCATGAAAAGCACGTGTTGCAAGTCGTAACCGCCTCGTCCTTACTTTCCTTCTCTGAACCGAGAGGCAAGGGAGTGAGTTAAGGAAAGTGAGTGAAAGAAGAGAGAGAGAGAAATTTGATTCAGGCTACAATGGCTAATTTACCTCAATCACTCTCAATGAGCGCCGCCTTCGGAGGACCAGGCTCGGTTCCGACGAACGGTGTCGGAGCTCACGCGAACAAGGATCGGAAAATGCAATCGGCCGAGCAGCTAGTGCTCGATCTCAGCAACCCTGATCTCAGAGAAAACGCTCTCCTTGAGCTCTCCAAGGTATATATATATACACGCATTCTCTACCATTATTTGTACAGTATTAATTTGTGTAGTTTGTACTGTGATCAATCACTTTGCATGTAGAAGGTTTTGATATCTAATGGAGTTCTTGAGTTGGAGGTGTGATAATTGGGAAAAATTAGGCCTTAATCATGTTTTGGCAGTTTATAGCTTCAGTTGTGCTTTTATTTTTTAAGAAAAAGGAAAGGGTAAAATACACTTTTAGTTTGGTCCTTAATCTTTTAATTGTGTCTATTTGGTTTCTAACATTTCTAATTTATATCTAAGTGGTCCAATTCCAAACGTTGGTCCAAAAATTGTGACTGTTCTGGTCACGTAGTGTCTAATTTTGTGTTTATTTAGTCCGTAATATTCTTGTGGCTATTTGGTCTCGAGCAATGCTATTGAGACATAATTTATGGACATAATTTGAGGACATAATAAGTTGTCACTAATGATATGATAATGAATTTATTAATGCTACAATGGGACCATCATTAAATACATTTCACTGTCATTTCATTGGTGATAACTCATTATATCTCCAAATTATGTCTTTCAATTATGTCCCAATAGCATTAGTGTTTGGTCTCACGTGTTTGGTGCATGACCAAAGTGTTAACAATTTTTTGAGGGACATTTGAGATTAGTTCACATAGATACAAATTAGGAACTTTAGGAACTAAATACACACAATTGAAAGATATGAGACCAAATAGATTCAACATACATACTTTGGGGGCTAAAAGTGTATTTTACCCAAAAGGAAATATTTCAGGAATTGCCTCCTTCCTTGACTCATTCGTGTTGTCTAATAAACTTGTTTTGTGTTTTTATCTGTAGAAGAGAGAACTCTTTCAAGATTTGGCTCCACTGTTGTGGAATTCTTTTGGTACTATTGCTGCACTCTTACAGGTATGCTTCATGTTGTTCTCAACCCTTTGTTTTTCTGCCATTGGTTTACAATAATTTGTATATTTTCTTCCTTAAGCACCAGCTAATGTGTACGAGCTTGTCAAAGAACTTTTTGGCTCTTTCTTGTTGTCAAGTCACTTACTTCCTCTTTTATTATTTAAACTCATCATAAGCCTAACTTTTAGATGCATTGCATAGTGATGATGTCACAAATCAAGGGTTGTGCTTGGATAAGCAGCAGCAGAAGAGTGTGAGGGAATATAGGTTATTATGGTGAACGACAAAAAGTGATTACTCTCATTGTGTTCCTTGGAGATATCATAGGTCTTAGAAAAACTACACACATTTTTCTTTTATTGGGTCAGGCAAGTGGAGCAACACTGTTGTCAGCCAAAAGACCAACGGTGTATGTGGATATCAGCTCAGCCTGATTCATGATAGCCACTTTTATCCCGGGCTTGCTTCTCAGATTCTGGATCTTTTTGGTCTGGCCTTAAGTACATGACAAGCTTTATGAACAGGCAGAACTTGGTCAATCGTTCCATAAGACCAATTCTCAAAATTTAGAATGATAAAATTCAAAATGCAATAATCTATATGCAAACTTTGATAAAATGTCCTTGGCGTCAACAACACCCTGATAGCTGAGAAAATCTTTTCTAAATATTGGGCAAAGTTAAAATCTGATACATTCTAAGCTATATCTGATGATCAGGATATATAGAGATATCCAAATAAACTGAAATCATGAGAACAAAATTGTATCCCTATAAATCCATGTATAATGGGATTTCACTTGGGTCACGTGATTTTACCTATATCATTAAGAAAATAAATTAATTTGGTTGTTCTCTTTTAATTATTCATGGACGGGTTCCCTATGCTGTTTTACCTTGTCTTAGCTAGTGATAGATGAAGTTCCTTGCAACTTGCAGGAGATAGTTTCAATCTATCCTGTTTTATCCCCACCAAACCTGACTCCCGCGCAATCAAACAGAGTTTGCAATGCACTTGCCCTTCTTCAGGTATTATGTTTAGCTTTCAGTTTTAGGTCTTATGCCAAAGAATTATTATTCAGTTACGTTTACTAATTGTCTCTATGCTTATCACTGTATAGTGCCTTCGTTGGAAGTTAGCTGCATTGCTTTTTCGAATAGAACTATTATACATGGCATGAGGAAAATTGGGTATAAGGGAATGGTGTTTTCCTGTGTTATCACTGCATCTTTGCCCGAAGCCAAAAAAAAAATTATTTCACTGGCAACATATATTTTTTTCATATGTTGTTTTGCTCCTTTGCATGTCTGCATGTGTTTTGACAGGAATATTGTTTCCAATGTTGCATTGAGACAAGTAGTTTGTGTTAGTGAAAGAGGTTCACCTATCATGACCCTTGAAATTAAAGGAGTTGATAAAACATCTTATTAAAAAAAAGGAGTTGATAAACCAGCTTCTTGTTGTGGTATTTGCATGGGTCTCTCTCTCTCTCTGCGCGACCGCGTGTGTGTTGTGGAGAAGTGAAATTATAATATAAAGAAAAACTAGGTGGAAGCGGGTGATATTAAAGGTTTTTTTGGTGATTCACCTTGATTGTTAGAGCCTCTAGCAAGCTGCAGAGTTAGTTTCAGGTTCGTCAAAATTTTATTCAGCGGGCTATTGCCTATCATACAGGAAGGAGATAGTATGCATCATAAACACATAATTAAGTTATTCACCTTTAGTGTGGGTCAGACATCATTGTCTTTGCTTGAAGGATCAGTCGGTCATCTCTTTGTTGCCTCAATGTTTTGTAAAGTTGCTCTCTTAGATATACATATTTTAGAATCAAGTTTCCCAACAAACAAGAAGAAAGAAAACAAAACCAGAGCATATTAGAACATTAGGAAGACTCTAGAAGTAATCCTAGCTTGTCGAATAGGGTGAAATTTATTTGAAAATAACGTTACTCGTTGTGGTGTTAATACAGCCCTTTCTTGCATGAGGGCAGTATTTTCTAGTGTCTTTATGTTCTGAGTTTGCCCTTTCCACCTCAAGCGCCATTTTCTTGGAGTAATTTTTATTGAAGTCATTATTTAAGAAGCATTGGCTTTTTGCATTTGGGGTCATAAGGTCATTCTGTGCTATTTTCATGCCACTTGCATTTGAAATTTCTGGCCAGGCCTGTAATCGATGTAATCGTTTTTTTATTCTAATGTTTATTTTCTTCTGCCTTGTTTTGAAGTTTTTCTAATGGGATATCCTTATTTACATATTTTTGCAGTGTGTAGCCTCTCACGCAGACACAAGAATGTTGTTCCTTAATGGTAAATCTCTTGTTCTATTGATAAAGCAAGGCTTTGTTAGCTTCACCGATTTGAGCATGACATTTTAAAGGGAAAATTTCTGTTTTGCTGATATAGTGCTTATAGTATTGATGGGTCTCATAGTGCACTGCATAGCCTGATGAATTGTAGTAGAGTATGATGCATAAAAGCCAAGATCAATTTTTGGGGAAAAAAAAAAAGAGAGAATAGATCGTCTATTTTTATACCACATATCCTTTTTTTACACCAAGAAATGAAGTGTGTTCTACAAATATAAAAGAATTTTCAGAAATTCAAATTCGTTTGAAAGAAGAGTCTTTCATTACAACCAATCAAAAACTTATTTCATGGATGCTACTATTTTTTTTCTCTTATGTTACTGGATCATCATGCATGTAATTAGACTAAAGCAGGTTTCAAATTTTTTCTGTTTTCGATTAAATTTCGGTCCTGCATTTTAAACCTTTTTTGTTGTTGTTGAAGACAAACTGGCAGTTTCACCATTACAAGTCAGGATTACTGACAGTTTTGATTCGACTTGAGACTATAATTGAAATTATTTTACAGAGGGCAATGCTTTGTAGTTTATAGAGCTGATTTTATTTGCATGGGTATCTTGTCCAATCCACAAATGTTTCTTTAATCTTCAGAAACCTAAGCCAACAGATAGAGACTATTCTTTCAGTGGCTAGTTCTTCTCATTGTGGATTTATTTTCAGAAGTCTATTGAAAACTAATGGTATTGTTCTAACTGGTTTTTTCACCTTTGCAGCTCATATTCCTTTGTATCTATACCCCTTTCTCAATACAACCAGCAAATCAAGGCCTTTTGAGTACCTGAGGCTTACTAGTTTAGGTGTCATTGGTGCCCTGGTGAAGGTACTGTAGTCTTTTTTGTGGTTTATGTTCCTGCATATTCTAGTTTTCCCCACTGTGGGTAGTGTGAAGCATCTATTGGCCTCATGAACATTACAATCATTCATTACTTGAGAGAGACTAGGATGCCAAACACACGTAATATATGCTTTCACATGTTGCATTCAGTATGGAGTAATATACCATTCCCTCTTGTAGTACCTGTAATATTCTTTAGATGCTTGTGGTGGTACCAAGGTCTATATCTTGTTCATCAGTATCATTGGGTTTGTGTGATCCTAAAACTGAGAGATTTGATACTCTTCTTTTATAGGTTGATGATACAGAAGTTATTAGTTTCCTTCTCTCAACAGAAATAATTCCCCTCTGCCTGCGCACAATGGAGATGGGCAGTGAGTTGTCAAAAACAGTTGAGTTTCTTCTGAATGCATTCGTCTTCATCTAGTTTCTGTTTATTTTCAACAATTGTGGCAGTGAATTTTCTGCTTATGTGAATCTACTGCAGATTTAGGCCTAACACATCGAAAATCACTAATTTCAGAAATTGATTCTTCTATGAGAAAGTTCCATATGTGGTTCAACTCAAAGAATGGGTTAGATTTGTTTTTTTTTTTTTATAAACTCTTTATGGAGATGATGAGTGGGTTACAAGTACCGTAGATGTAATATTAGTTTCCATTACTATTGGAATCTATGGTTGTGCGATATAATGAATGTCTGACTCTGAAAAAGTATCAACTGAAGCATTCTTCTCTTGAATCACACAAAGTGATTGGTTTTCAAGAGGGTGGTGAACTCGGTGTTGGGTTTCTCATGGCTTTTGTGTAAATTTTCAGCCATGGGTGTATGTATCATAGTGAAATTTTGTATATATCGAGCATTACTTTTGTAACTATTGGCTAATTTAAAGTCTGTTAGACTTCATCATGGGGTTGCATTGGGTATCTGAACAGATATTCCTCCGTCTTATTGGTTCCTTTTATACTCTGTTGTTGCTCCCCATGCTATAGATGCATGTTTTGAGCCAAGTAGGTGAGCAGTGGACTCCACATGTGCATGGAATACACGAATGTGTGTTCACTGGTAAACTGACTATGATGGATTAATTGAAATGATCGATTTCCTGCAGCTGGAATTTCTCTTCTTACCATTGGTTTCCTCAATTTTTTCTTTTTCAATTGAGATTTGGGTATCTTTTAATTTAGAAGAGTTCCCAATCTTTCCTTTTGTGGAACTTTTGGTTCCATCTTTATGAATATCTCCAGTTTTGTAATTGAGTTTACAATACAAGTCTGACAAATGGTTTTATGCTGGCAGGTGGCCACATTTATTGTTCAAAAAATTCTGTTGGATGATGTTGGGTTGGATTATATATGTACCACCGCAGAGCGATTTTTTGCAGTTGGTCGAGTATTGGGGAATATGGTTGGTGCACTTGCAGAACAACCCTCATCACGGCTTCTGAAACATATTATTCGTTGTTACCTTCGTTTGTCAGATAATCCAAGGTTGGTCAAGTTGAAACAATTGTACTTCTCTACACGCATACCACATCTAAAAGGTCATGATATATGATCTTTTGCATGCAGGGCTTGTGATGCATTAAGAAGCTGCCTTCCAGACATGCTACGAGATGCCACCTTTGGTAGTTGTCTTCGTGTAAGTAGTGGTTGAAACTTATGTAGTGATACTTATATTCCTTGTCTGGAGCCCCTCGGGTCCCTAATGTCCGGAAACCAACTTTTTTCACTAGAGCAGGGCATCAGGCCAAGTCTGGGACTTGGTGAGCATCTCCGATCCTTACCTTGCTTTAAACCCAAATTTAAATTTGGGTAAAAAACTCTTATAAAACCTCCTCCAATGCTAGACCCATACCCATATCAAATTAAGGGAGGCTTTTTTTTTTTTCAAATCAAGGAAGACTCAAATTCATAACCAAATCTTTAATGTTGAGATTTCACCGTCCTTTAAAGATCCAATAGTCATACTTTATCCTCTTTTAAATTTGAGTTTGTCCTCAATTTCTTATTTAAATTTGGGTTTCTCTTCTTTTAAATTTGAGTTTTTGTATTTCTATACCAAATCAAACTTTTTACCCCTTTTTTACTCAAATTTGGGTAAGGGTATGGGTCTTCATTAGAGATGGTCTAAGTTACGTTTGTGACTTGATACAAGATGAAGTTATTCTTCTTATTTCAGATTTCAGTGGAATTGAACTTAGTTTGTCTCTCCATAGCATCTGTGGAAAATGAATGCGGTGGTGTGACTGTTCCTCTGTGAGATTCAAATTAGTGAAATTGATTAGACATTCTGGCTTCTAGTTTAGTCTGTTATATGGTTAGGTTAAATTGATGACATCTGACATGTTCATCAAGTCATTTACACTTTTTTATTTTGATTTGGTGAGTGCCATTTAAAATGCTGTTCATCTTTACGTTTTCAGGAAGATCCAACCACAAGGAGGTGGCTACAGCAATTGCTTCACAACGTCCAAGGGCCTCGGGTTGGTCTGCAGGCAGGGGGAGGATTTGATCATATGCTGGTGAACTGACCTTGAGCTTTGTTTGTCTCTTTGAAATCTCTGGAAAGAGATTGCAACTCCAGTTATGTCATATACACCGTTTTTAATCTCAAATCTCTAGGGTATTTATGTTGTTTTCAATTATAGTTTCTGAACCTTTAAACCTTGGAGGCTGTTATGTATTTCAATATCTAGTTACTTTGTAATATAAAGCTATGGAACCTAAGCTCAAAGTAAGAGCAAGAAGAGAGATTGGAGCTGCTCCCTATGTTATTTAATGTTAAGGACCCTAAAGCAGCCAAGTGCTGGTTTTGACATAGTCTCCTCCTCCCATTCTCTTCCTTGGTGAACATCAGCTGTTTCAACAAAAAAGTGTCTTCCGACAATTAAAGATTACACACAGTACAATCACCGAATGGAGTGGTTCAGGGGGTACCAGCTGAATATTTGTTCAGGTTCGAGTCTTGGAATTTATATTGGGATTCAGTAATTAATTATTATGTTAGCCTAATTAAATTCGTTCTTGAGAAGAGTAACGGATGTGGTTAAGGGCTTCATGATTTTACCGGTGAGAGATTATTGAGGTGGTCTTTGGACGTTCTATTTTGTCACCAACTTTTTCTTATTTTAAAAAAAAAAAAAAAAAATTTACACACCATACATGGGCCACTAAACTGAGTTGTGTACCAATTTACCGTAATTTTTAAAATTTATTTGTCGAAATTTAGAACTTTCAAATTTATTTCTCAAACAATCTTTATTTTTATGCAAGCGTGATAAATTCACTTTTTTCAATGCAAAAGAAACAAGTTTTTAATAAGAAAACTTTGTTCTTACAGAGAGTTTTATAGTTTGAGAAATACGATAAGAGTGCAGTATTATTATAAAATAATACGGTGAAAAAAGTCGCAAAATCGTGGTTTTGGCTGGTTAAAAGTCTACTGGAAGTAGCAAAATCTTGGCCGTAACGCGAACTAGTTTTGAAGCAAACAAGTTCTTTGTTTGTGAACTTGTAGGGGATCATCAATGGAGGCCTATTGGTTTATTAAGGGCATTAATCGTATTGTTTTGTGTTATTTTTGTGCAGTATTATTTAGAATTATGTTATTTTTTATATGTATTGTGTTAATAATTTTTTTAAATTTTGTAACATTTCATTTGATAGAATATAAAAAAATATATATATATATTTTTTAGATTATCTACTAATTATATTATTCGTGTCTAATTTTATTTTGACTCATATATCATGTCATTTTTAAATTTTCTTCTTCTCACAACAGAGGAGCTGCACCCCATTATTACCTTTTTGATATAATGTATTATAAATTTGAATACCTTTACACAATCAAGAACCACCACCGTAAGAGCACGAAGTCTTCACTTTGCCACTTCTTCTCTCTCCAAAAACCCTCCGATTCAAGTAAGAAATTCTACATGGTCACACCCGACGGCTACGAGATCATGACGTACACCTGCGCCGGCACCGGAGGCAACGACGACGAAGCTCAAGATTGCATGGACATGGCTTCATCTATTCGGGCAGTTGAAAAACTTCTAAATTACACATTTAAGAACAAAAAATTGGCAGAAGATGCCTTAACTCACTCCTCTTTCACCGATTCCACCTCTTACCAACGCCTCGAGTTCGTCGGCGACGCCGCTTTGGGTCTCGCGATTTCCAATTATGTGTTCTTAGCCTACCCCGACCTTGAGCCTGGCCTACTCTCTCTCCTCCGCGCTGCCAATATCAGTACCGAGAAGCTCGCTCGGGTCGCAGTCCGACACGGGTTGTACAGATATGTCCGCCATAATGCCAGCGCTCTTGATGAGAAGGTACATATTGAGAATTTAGTGGTATGTGTGTATACTGAGTTTAGTTTCTGATTTGGTGTTTTTGGATCAATTTTAGGTCAGAGATTTCGCTATATCGGTTGAGGGAGAAGATGAGACAGAGGTGTACGGTGGGGCGGTCAAGGCGCCGAAAAATTCTTGCGGACATTGTGGAGTCTGTGGCGGCTGCTGTATATGTTGATTGTGGATTTGATTTGAAAGCTTTGTGGGTGGTGAGTTTTTCTTTTCTTTGTGGTTTGTCTGTGGTATTTGCTGAAATTTAATCTGAGCTTGATAACGAGTGTGCTCACATTTGAAGTAAAAAGTATTATGTTATTGTGGATAAGGGAATTTCAGATTCAGATATGATTTGTGGAATGTAGAAAGATTTCTTTTTCTTGAGATTTGTTTTTGTAGCTTGGATTTATGACGATTAGTTGCATGTTTGGCTGAATGTTACTTGAATAATCAGAAATTGCAGAAATTTTGTTCTGTCCATAATCATCCAAAATCTTGGCAATTCAAGGGGAGGGTTGGTTTTGGAATGTTCTTCAGAACAAACTTCAATTTGTGAATCATGATTTTTAGTTTACTTTTGCTTCATTTTTTTGATAAGCATCGATCTATTTTTGCTTGATTCAGATTTTCAGAGATTTATTAGAACCCATCGTGACACTTGATGTACTCCAGCAACAACCGCAACCTGTGACAATGCTTTTTGAGCTATGCCAAAAGGATGGAAAGCAGGTTGATATAAGGCATTGAGGAAAGGGGAGAAAAACATTGCTAGTGTTTACGTCGATGGGACATTTATCGCCTCGGGTTGCTCAGAACAGAAAGAAAATGCAAAGCTTCATGCAGCGAAGGCAGCTTTGAAGAAGTTGTCATATCCCACAACCAACGACAAAAATAGATGGCTTTAGAACTTTATGTTGACTTAAATGGAA